TTTAAATATTTTGTTATTTTAATGATGAACTCACTTGTATTTTTTGCCTTATTTTATCTTGTTTGTATCTGTCTGTGTTAAGTGATGAAGTGATGACCCGTGTTAATTCATGTCAGATTGCACATGCTGTATTCAGTATGATTAATTCAGGCAATCACTTGTTTGGCAACTTGGAAACACAATACTCAAATTTCAGATTTTTATGCTGTACACATTTCTTTTAAATGTCCACATGTACCCTGTGGCCATGGATCATTTAGTCATATAAAAATAGCACAGTGCAACTTGTCCGTTTTGTTTCAGAAAGAATGTATTATCTGACGACAATAAACAACCTTCATTCTAACTGAAATATGACAGCAGATGGTAAATGTCAGACTTATCTAGGATGTGGGAAAAGATACCTTATTATGTTGTGTAATCTGATTTAGATGGAGCTGTAGTCCTTGAAGTGTCTTTCAGAATGGCCTTCTTTTTATTATTTTTATCGTGTCTTCATCATGAGCCCTCACCTGCTCTTTCAGTCCTTTCTTTCCAACAAACCATCTCCCCCTTTCTTCACTCTTTGTTTCTATTTATGCTTGAGATTTTTTTTTAAGAAACTCCCACCTATTGTGGGTTAAAAAAAAAATAGGGAATCTGAGAATTGACCATTTTTCTGTCTTACTTTCTGCAGGAATAAGGTTTGATCTCCTGGGTGATTTTGGACGATTTAATTGGCTTGGAAATTTTTACATCGTACTTTCGTACAATCTTCTGTTTGCTGTGGTAACCACATTGTGTCTGGTCCGAAAATTCACATCTGCTGTGCGAGAGGAACTCCTCAAAGCCCTCGGTATGTATTCTGCATGACTCCATTCTATTAGCACTTCTTATATCGTGGTTTAATCTCCAAATTTCTTTCTGGTCTACTATTTCGTTCTGTTCTTTTTCTCTTTTTTTTTCTTTTATGCTCATGTCTTTGTGTCTGTATATTCAGGGCAGTCCACAAGCAGTGCATAAAATGCATACTGTAGTTTTAGTTTTGAAATGCTATATTATTTGTCTATAAGAGTCAAAGAGTCCAAATGTTTCAAATACTTATCTCTTTGGTTTCAGGTCTGGATAAATTAAATCTGTCCAACAGTACGACAGATGCAGAGTCAGGGAAACATGCTGTCAACGGGCATCAGAAAACTCTGTGAGAACAAAATCGAGCCATTCTCTCACAAACTCATGTGTATGCAGTTGGGTTTTTCATTTTAAGAGTACAGTGGTATTTAGTCACAGAGCATCAAAAAAACAAAACCAAAAAAGTGGAAGTGTTTAGACCTACAATAGAGTAGTGTACATACCACTGAACCTCACTTCAGAATGCTTCCAGCTCTAACCAGGCTGAGATTCACAAATATTTAATTCGGATTAGCAGTGTTTGTTGTTCAGCTTGTAAATGCATTCATTTCAATTCTCTTGAGTGAGAAAATGTTATTTTCTTGCTGACCTGCACACCTAAAAGGCCTCCTGACTGCACCCTTCAATGAGGGATTATTATTATTATTATCTATAATTTTTCTCTAGTTTGATTAGGGGAAATATTAAGCTGTTTGCCAAGCTGATAATTTCACGTGTAATGAAGCATGCACTAGTCTCAATTAGGGCTTATAATTTTCCTCCTTAATTATTGTTTGATGACATTTTGTGCCCTTGTAGATCAGTATTTTGTAAAGTTAAATGGACCTTGTTAAAAGAAACCGGTTTAGTTCCCATAAAAAACAGCACACAAATGACATATAAACATTTTTGATAATGACAAGAGAGGCACCTTTATTACACATGATATTAGTACTAATATTAGAAACTACATTCTCTGAAGAATTGCAGAGTTGTCAAATTTAACACTGGCAAAGAAATCGTTGCAGTGAGTCTAACTGAACATTGATCATCTCAATTTAAGTTATAGATGCTTTAATGCCAAATTAACTAGTTCTTATGCAAATGGAGCACATTACAAAATCAGTTAAAAAAAAATCTACAAGCAAAACATGATGGCCAGTCACAATGACAAATACTAATTGTCAGCATTGGTCTACAGCTGTCAAATTTATTGCTTGCATTTTGATGTGTAAAGTAAGTTTTGTAATCTGAAAACTTGTTATTCTGTCTGCCATTGCATATGTTTACATTCACTTTGTTAAAATGAAGATCAATTATTATTTATATGTTGATCAATTATAAATGAGGAAGCGTTATGATTTTAGTTTCCTCACGCTTTACTGTGACAATTCAGGTTTGTTGGATGTGACAGAATTAAGTAATGGGAATTGACAAGGAAACTCCCCAAAACATGTGCCTTACTCACAATATTGGCATATACTGGGTAGTATTGAAATATCACAAAGAGTGGAGGAGCCTACCTGCCAAACTTCTTCTTGCACTGCAACTGTTCTTGTTGTTTTCATTGGTAGGCAAGGTTCCGATGTGGACATTATGGGTTCGAGTCACTACCAACAACCAGCTTCATATGTTATTGTGTTTACTTGAACTGGTTGTGGCAGATTGTGTTTTGGAATGCTGCGATCTGCCAGTCACTCTTGGCAAAATCACCTCAATGATTTAACACGTTTAATGGAGTGTAGTGTATTGTAGTCTTGAATAAGGGAGGTGACAAAATTGAAAAGACAGCAGAGAAATGCTGCTGGTAGTAAAATGCACCAAATATATGGGAGAAGGTGAGTCACAATCTTGGGATATGCTTCCTGTTCCTGTACTTAAATCTGCTGCTACCTCCTTCACAACATTTGATACTATACTATGCTACATGTACTATGCAAACTGAGAGCATATAACCAATAACATACATCCTTTGAACTTGGTTATTGCTGCAGAGCTTGTAAGGATCTATATATTTGCCTTATTTCAACATCACTAGCAAAACAGCCTTCAAACATCTAGTCTGTACCTCTGCAGCTGCTTTGCTTTTTGCAAATGGCAGATTATTCATGAAGATATTTGTGTGTTTTTCCACGCACTCTCATGCTGGATTTTAAGCCAGCTCAGTCTGTTCAGTCTAACAAAATACTGGCCTACACAGATCAGAGGCTAAACTCGTACATTATGTAGGATCTTGTATATAAAGGCTGTGAAAACAGGACTGCAGAGCCACATCAGATCTATTAAAGCTTATTGTGCAGTGAAATGAATGTGAAGTCCGAGCGGAGTCAGATGTCATTACGCATGTAGAGCGCAGCACGACTCATTGAAGGGTCTCCTTTGTAGCTATGAAATACTGTGTCATAGAAGCTTTTTTTTTTTGTCTAAATGTTACCGATTACACAGTTAATGTACAATATTTTCAGTATAGTTTCCAAACATTCCCATTCTGATGACAAAACCAATAGGCTAAAAGAACCATTCCTGACATTTCTCTTAAAGTGTTATGTAAAGCTGAACAGACATCCTGTGTGCAGTCTTCAGTTTTCGTCTCTTTAACTATAGCAAGCCTCATAATAATGTAAATGATGTATTTACATGTATATACAGTATATTTCTTCATTTTATTTTTGTAGAATGTAGATATGAAACGGCCTTTGAGCCTCATTCATACTATGCTATTTGTGGAAAAGGCCAGACAATTAGTCATTCAGCATTTGTTTATTGAACAAAAACAAACAAAAAAAATTTTAATCACCTCTGATGCCTTAAACAGGCTTTCTAGGCTTTTTCGTTTTTGTCTCCTGTTGTCCAGTATTGAGGAGACAAGTTATGCATGTGTGAGACGTGAAAATGAGTGAGTTTGTGTACCTTTTTATTGACTAATTCACTGTGAATCCCTCTTGTGATTGTCAATAACATGGCATACCAAAACGACAGGGTGTATCTTTTAACTCGAACTGGCCAAAGTCAAAAGAAACTATCAGGGCACTGATATTGAATATTAAAGTTTGGGCAGGAATCATTTTAAGAAACGGATTGAATTTTGTGTCTGCAGAGGTCTAGGATTCACATGAGGGACACTGAATTTAAAGCCTGTGAAAAGGTCATTTAAAAACTGACACCTCAGTGGGTTCTGTGGTTCAGTTTGCTGCATTGTTTTGTGGTTTTTATTGTCATGGATTTAAAAAAGTTACATGTAAAATATATTTTCTTCCTGTTGATTTGCACAAAGAACATTTTGTAAGAAAATATCTGGGGAATAAGTGTATAATGTCAATAATTGTGTCATTGAAGTAAGCTTTATAATGTTTTTTTGTGCGTATGTGTATTAAACTTTAAGGTCACTTTTGTCTGCACAAATTTTGTAATGCCAGAGCATCTTATATTATTATTAACTATATAATAAATTCTTTATTAACTACAGTATATAACACTAAATTCTACTCTTTGGCTTTAATTTAATTGGTGTTTGAGGAATGTTGCTGTTGCTTTATGCAGGACAAGGACTGGTGTGTCAGTTATTGTGTTGGGTTTCTCAAAATAGTGGCATACTACAGTGATACTAGAAATAACTGAAAGAGCAAGAAGCCGATTCATTCCATATTCTATAATGTGCTTGTCTGTACAACATTGGTACAAGAGTTACAAAAAATGTAGTACATCAAAGATGCTGTGGTATTTCAGTTTATTAGTCTGTTGAACTGTTGACAGCGTTTCACTAGAAAGTGTCCTGTCTACACATCAAAACAGCTTGTTTGTTCATCATAGGCTAAATGTCTGTCGGTCTCATTTGAATTCTCATCTTCAGATCCCAAGGGAAAGCTTAACTCTGTTTCCATTTTTGCCTGTTGCTTCTTTTACGTGTGTGAATGTATTTTCAGAATGTTTTCTCTCGTATTTGTAGAGTTGAATTGCATAGGTTTGTGAAGCAAAATGTTCAGATTGTCTTTAAGTTTACTTGGTATTTCACTTCAGTTTACAATAAAGTTTGTGACTTTTGACAGTTTTTATCGTACTGTTTGATGATGTAGAATGGCGATGTGGGAGAAGTTGAATTTGGCTCATTATATAAACTAGAACATCAAGACAAACTAATAAATATACTGATCTCTAATTTGAAACAAGCATTTTAGCATAGTGTGACCGGCAGAGAGGGCATGTGGGTTTCACCTCGTGGCAGAAAAGCTCAAAGGCTTGCAGACAGGGTTCATGGAAGAGATGGGAACAGGACAATAACAGGACATTCCTGTCTTCCTTCGATGAGCCATTGTGTGAGCCCAAGCGGTTCAGGCAAATGGGGCAGTCCTGAACACCACGCTGGACAGCCTGGTGGAAGCAAGAAAAAGAATCATGTGTGATTGTGTAATTGAAAGAAGTCATTTCAGTACTAGGAACTGGCAGCAGTAAACACATAAGTGAGTATGGACAAACAGTAATAATGCTAGTGAGAATTACACAATGCTTAAAATGCATATATGCCCATCCAGTTGCTTTCAATGAGGTGCTAAAATGTCAACTACACAATATATATCATACAGTATCCATTTGAAAATTTTACCCATGGCCTGTTACAATCAAGCATCAATCATGCACTATCCGTAAAATGTGCTGGCGGGGACCATTCTTGACTTTTAAGAGACTATAACCATTCAGAATGCACAATGATTAATGCTGCCAAGACACCACACTGACACCAGCAATCAGTAGTGGCACTCAATCAAATTGCTGCTCTGCATCTGTTGATTAGACGACCATTTACATTTTTCACTCCTCGCTGAATATTCAAAATGAATATCACCATTAATTCTGATGATCGAGATTGAACGTAACTGACTGTGCTATTGGTGCTAATTACTGGTGCTAATTCATGCTAGATTTCCTCTGGTTAACTGTTTTGCTGCTCAATTATTATCAGTTAATACTCAATTATTAATAATGGTTCTTATTATTATCATCGATGTTGGAAACCATTTTTGCTTAATATTTTTTTCAGGATTCTTTGATAAATAGAAAGTTGAAGAGAACAGCATTTGTAACATTATGGATGTCTTTACTGTCACTTTTGATCAATGTATCCTTGCTGAATAAATGAATTTAATTTTTTATTCTTCAGAAAAAAAAAATCAGAACCAATCAGCGTATTAGAATAATTTCTTAAGAAAAAGACTAGCCTAGAGTAATAGCTGTTGAAAATTCGGCTTTGCCATCACAGAAATAGATAATATTTTAAAATATGAAGAGTTTATTTGCAAAAACATAATTTATTAGAATAATTTCTTAAGAAAAAGACTAGCCTAGAGTAATAGCTGTTGAAAATTCGGCTTTGCCATCACAGAAATAGATCATATTTTAAAATATGAAGAGTTTATTTGCAAAAACAGATAATTATTATTTTTTTTATATATTGTTATCATGTTTTTATTGTGTTAGTTAGCTGTATTTTTTAGTTATTTTTTAACCTAATGATTGGTAATGTTAATTTGTATTTAATCATCATGCTTAAGCCTTCTATTATTCCCTTATGTTGCTTTTATTAACAAGCATTTGCTTTCCCGGCCTCTGAAATGCTCCTGTGAAATGAAAAAACAAAACATGCCCGTGAACAGACGCACACCTCGTGTTCCGTGAGAGTGTTTTCCTGCTCCATTATCAGGGAAAAATGATTAGCAGATTTATGACCGCTGTGTGCAGCTCGTATCACAGTTGTAGTTCAGTTGAGTCTAACAGAAAGTAGGTGTGCAGCCATAATCATTAACTGACTGTCAAGCTTCCTTTATTCAGCAAAGGCCAATCGCTTCGCACGAGAACATTTCATAATTGTTCGTTCTGTTTGTCTGGGTGGGAACGGGTTGGTTCTGACTTGAACTCTGCTAACTCTAGGTTTGAGAGTCTCAGGTTATCTGCCCGACCTCTCATCCAGAAGATAAAAAATGAGCGTTTCCTTTTTTAGTGGATCACTGCCATTGGCTGCCTCAACACAATAACAATGAGGCCCACTGAAATGCCAAATCTTGTCTTCAGCTCGCATGTAATGAAAGGCTAGGCATGCATTATCCGCGCAGCTTGTGTTTTTTAGTAAACACGGTGGATTATTTCCACTCATTCATTAGCAAGGTAAACAATCATCTCTTGGAGGGTTTGATACTGTTGAATCGGAACATCTGTGCCGCCAGTGCGGCTCGAGCACTCCGGGACAGGTGGCGGCACGTCGGGCGAAGGGCAGGACCGAGGAGCGACTGCAGAGAGGGATTAGAGGCATTGATGAGCTGCTCTTTTATAAAAGTACACTGGGATTTCAGTCTCCGTCTGCATGTGTAGGTGAAGGAGCAGCAGCATTATCGCAAACCTTCTCTTGAGCTTCCAGCCAGTCCTTCTCCTCCATTTCAGAAACACTCGTGTACTTGTTGAAGCGGCGCAGGATGTCGTGGCTCGAGGCCACGGAGCGATCGATATCGCTCAGGAAGGCTTCCACGTCTGTGCTGCATGACTGCACCAAGCTGTCGTTCATCTCCTGAAACTGATTAAGGAAATTAATGACATGAAAATGGGTTTCGGTCAGACATGACAAGGCAAACTGATGTTCCGTCATAACATAGATCAATTTGGAGTCTTGCACTGACAATGAAACGCTGTTAACAGCCAGATCAATAGCAGTATGAATGGATGTATGAAAGAAACTTTCTGGACGATCCCAGAAATTGACCTGCAAGATTAAGCATGCACAGGTACGCACACACATCCTGTGGCGACTATTGCAGCGAATGAAATCAGTGGTTTCTTTATAGCTGTATTTGATCAGTAATTAAACAGACGTTAAGCGTTCCACAGAGTTCAAACGTAGACCTTCCTAAAGAAGGACAAACAACACTTGGCAGTGTGAACTCTGCCTCCTCGCATTCAGGGAAAAGAGAGGGTAGGTACAATCAATCTTAATGTCACCAATTTAACTTTCTAATATGTTGACTTAGTGAGGTACCTGAGGAAAAAAACGAGCGACTAGTTGATTGAAAAGCTATCTAAGAGCAAAAGCGATAAGCATACTGCATTCTTTCTCTCTTTGTTCCATTTTGTTTAGCTGGTTAACTGCTTCCTGGTGTGCCAAAGGTCCAGAGAAACATGCAAAAAAAACAGAAATTCACACTCATTGACAAGTTACATTCCAAATATTCCATGTAATATCATGGAACTAGCAATACCAAGATTATGGATCTAAATCACAAGGGGAAAAAATGATCAAACATATACCTTGAAAGTAGAGCTGGGTAAAAAATATAGATATCTCGATATTAATCGATTCTCATTTTTACAGAACGATATCGATTCTTAAATCCCAAGAATCGATTAGTCTAGCCTGTTTTCAGTTAATGGACGGAACATTGAAGGGCACTTCCCATCCAATATATCGCAATAAGCATTGTGCGTTGGTACTTTTAATATGAAACAAAGTCTCAGATTTCAAATTCTGTCCATTGTATTGCAGTATTTAAACAATAAATGCCGTTTTGGCGCTGTTTAATGTGGAGTGACAGATCGCTGTAGCGCCTCAGTTCAACAGACGCAGCAGTGCGAGGCGCATGTGAACTGATCATCTCCTCCACATTAATGCTAGTTTCAGCACAAAATAAACATGACTAAACATCTGAACAGTGGCGGCTCATCGGGGGAGGCAGGGGAGGCACAGCTTCCCCATAATTTTGAGTTGAAAATGGGAGGAGGACGATTTAATGTTAATAAAATTCACAATTCATTTCAGTTCACGTCTCAGAATGTGTATTTTTTGTTTTGTAATACCATAAAGTGGTTAAGCAAATAATAATAATAATAATAATAATAATCGGCAGGGATCCCAGACCAAAACAATTAGTGTGCTTCCTCTATTTTAAAACCCACGAGCCACCACTGCATCTGAAGGTAAGTTAAAAGAAAGTACAACTTTACAATCCGTATCCTGTCTCATGTAATCGCTCAATTAGTGTTTCAGCTGCGCAAAGACGTCAATATAACGTCTTGTAAACAATGTCACGTTATGTCACATTTACCTCAGAAAAACATATTAGGTGACCATAAACTTATTAATCAGATAGAAAAATAAACTGTAGAGAGGGGCATGTTGCTAAATATATGCACCATATAACATTCATTATATTTTTTACTGTTCTTCAATGTTTAATTTATGTTTGAATAAATCCATCAAGTTTTTATGACAGCCACCATTTAAATGTTTATATTAAAAAAAAACAAATTGAAGTAGAAATATTATTATGTAACTGTAACTTTATTATTGTAAAAACTTCATTAATTTTAACCTGCAATATTATAGTATGTAATATTATAGTACCAACTGACTGTTGGTATATTTTACAGCATTAGTTGAGAGATTTTTTTTTCCTTGAGAAAATTTGGCATGTACTGTACCTGATATATATCCAAAATAATCGATATTGAATCGAATTGGTAATCGAATCGAATCGCAAGCTTGTGAATGAGAATTAAATCGAATCGTGAAATTTGTGTCAAAACCCAGCCCTACTTGAAAGCACTGTAAGTTGACAACAATATTAAACTTAATTTATATAACCCCTTTCATACAATGCAGCTCAAAGTGCTTCACATGAAAACAAGTAAATACCATAATAATAACATACAATTAAAAATGAAACCTACTTTAAATTGATAATAAAAGAAGATAAAACAACAATACACCAATAATATATAGAATGCTTAAAAAAATAAATTTGCTAATTAAAAGCTTAAGTAATTTTTTTTAATGTTTTTATCTTTCCATTAAAATATTTAGTGATCTCTGGATAAGGTATTTGCTAAATTAACACACTTGATGTAAATGTAGATAATTTCCCCTTTTCATTCCTGCCACTATAAACTAACTTGCCTTGAAAGAGAGCACTTGGCTATTAGTTGTTTAGCAAACGCAATTGAACCATACTCCCTAGTAGCAGACAAATGAAAATAAAAAATAGATTTGGCAACGCTCAACAGTATACGATACTGTCACAGGGGTCAATGCATACATCTGTATGCTTTTAAATAAGCTTTCCAAAGCAGTTTGAGAATATAGCTTGGAGTCTGGAATAGTGCTGTCAGTTCCAGAACCGTAACCAAGACTTGACAGTTGATGCCTCACTAGATGGCAACCTTTGCTTTCCCTGGGCTAATGCATGGGGACTTCTGTGTGGGATAATGAGGGGGCTGCAGGGCCAGACGTCTGTGTCAGTGAGGTCCCTGCCCAACAGCTTCTAACCACTTTCACCTGCTATCAGTATCCTGCACTCTGAAGGGTCAAAGAGTGCATGAAAACTACTATGGAAAATGACTTTTTAAAACAAACTCTTTAAGCCTTCAATTCTAAACTCACAAATCTTGTACAAAATTAATTATTTTTCAGTTGGGGCTTTACTCTCTTCATTTTGCAGAATAATAAATAAAAAACTCCAAAATGACCAGACAAACCATATTTTCTGGCATATTATATCAATAATACAATAATCTAATTAATTAACTAAAAATGCTATTGTATTGAGAGACCGATTGAGAGCCCGAAATGTCAATTAACAGACTAAAACTGTCATAATGTCTCAATTAATGTTACCTTTTTTTCAAAGAATACTCGTCTTAATTGTTGGTCTTTCGGTGGCACATACTTCTTTATGTTGCTGTACCATTTGCGAACAAGGTAGCCACGCCAGAAAGCCTGTATTCTGAGATTTGAAAAATAAAAACCAAACACAAGAAAACAATGACACGGTTGGGAATGGGAGCAATTTAGATGGATGTAGATTGTCCAGCCGCATGAACTTCACATCTTTACCTGACAGCACACTTTTCCCGATAGAGACGAGCACCATCGTAAATCACCCTGGTCTCATACTGCTCCGTCCTGCACATCGGGCAGCTCTTCCTGCCTGAGAACTTCTCAAAAGACTTCAGACACACCTGAAATTAGTGGCACAAAGGGACTAATTCACAAACTCTGAGTGATTTTCATAAGGTGTTATCAAAGTCTCCATGCCAATTAATGATGTTGGAAGAATCTGTAATGACTTACTTTGTGAAATACATGAGAACAGGAGAGTAGAACCTAACCAAAGACCACAAAAAACATAATTAGCTATTATATAAAAACATTTAGTTGACCAAATGCCAAATGTAGCATACGTGAGTTCCTGCATATTACATATTAAAATATAGCATGGTAATGAATCGATCAAGGTGGCCAGTGTGTTTATGTACAAAAAGATGTGATATTCTTGATTAGTCACCAGAAACAGCAGCTGAGAGTACATGTATACTGTCTGTCTACTGCCTATAAAACTGTCTACTGCCCACAGCTTGTCTGATAATCTACATGCATTCAGTCTCCATTAGACTGTATTCAAGAGCAAATTTCTCACACCAAATCAACAAACACAGGAGCAGGTGAAGCATCTAGCTAACTTGTTAACAAATACAATAGTTCCAAACTTTGTTTTATATATTTATATTATATTAATATTTCTCAAATCAATTTGTATTATGTAGTTAATAGTATTTCAGACTTTCAATATTCTTTTGTTAATGCATAATCTACTTGCATGCACTTTATTAATTTTCATATCTACAAAAAAATTTTGTTTATGCCAATAATAGTTATTTTGAGAATCATACCTCAAACTAATACATAGATAAAATATTTAACAAATTATAATATATAATATATATTAATAGAATTATATCAATTAACATTGCTGTTTAACCACAGTGCCTTACGTCTTTTTTGCCACATCTTAGTAAAATAATGTGAAACCATTACATCTATTACACTAATATTTACATCATGTGACTAAGGCACAGTTTGCCTGTTGTTCTGAACAGCTGGTCTTTTTCCCAGCATTCCTGAGGAGACTGGCGTCTTAAAAGGGAATTGGGAAGCTGTAAAAATGGCTGGTTGACCTTCCATACTGACCTCCATCATTCATGATACAGTTGAGTTACAAGACATTATGGTAAATTTGTAGAGTTACAGGACACTAAAAAGTGTGTTTGTGTACATCTGGGAAAAAACAAGGGCATCTGTTGACCGAAAGAACATTGGAGGGCACTGCAGGAACTCATGAAGATAAAAAGAAAGAAGAGGACATATACAGTAGTAAGTTAAAGGGGTCATATGATGCGATTTCAAGTTTTCCTTTCTCTTTGAAGTGTTACAAGCTCTTGGTGCATAAAGAAGATCTGTAAAGTTGCAAAGACTAAAGTCTCAAATCCAAAGAGATATTCTTTATAAAAGTTAAGAGTCAACCACACCTACCCAAAACGGCTCATTCTAAAACGCCCCCACATGTCTACGTCACTATGTGGAAATATTTGCATAATGCCGCCCAAATGCGCACGCAGAGAAAGAAAGCGTGGTTTCAGGAACAGCAGTAGTGTTGATGCAGCCATGTCAGGGAGACGCTGTGTATTTCAGTGCAAAAGCAAAAGCACTTTATTTGAGCATGTCAACATATTCTGTTACACCAAATACACAAAATAATGATCTTTAAAAAAGCATCATATGACCCCTTTAAGGAAATCGCTAAAATAGTCCATGTGACATCAGTGGCTCAACCGTAATGTTATTAAGCTACGAGAATACTTTCTGTGCACAAAGAAAACAAAAATAACAACTTTATTCAAAGAGTTCACAAGAGTTCTATGACGCTTGCACATGATGCTGCTGATGGGAGGAGCCGCCATTCTGACATAGAACCAGGATGTGCCTTTTGTTTTCTTTGCACATAAAATGTATTCTCGTAGCTTAGAGAGTACTTCTCGTAAAAAATACTGCAGGGTCTATACAGGCTGAGAAAGCTCTCGGATTTCATCAAAAATATCTTAATTTGTGTTGCAATATAACAAAGAGTGAAAAATTTAAGGGGGTGTGAATACTTTCCGTACCCACTGTATATATATATATATATATATATATATATATAATCATCAAATGCTAAAACTCTCAAAACTCTAAAATTTTGGGATTGCCCCATGAATCACATAGGCTAAATGGTCTCTTTTGGCTCCAAAAGTTAACAACTTTGGGACAATGTTAATTTTGTACCAACAATAATCACTGCACTTAACTGTCAAATGTATTTAAATGCGTTCCAAATTCATGTGGCTCAAAAATGAGAGGGCACATAAGTGGGCACGATGCCTCTGAACGAAGTTACCTGTGGTTGCAGACGAAACTCCTCCCTGCATATCACACAGGGCTGGGTTGAGTCTCCCTCCTGGATGGACCTGGTTTTGACCTCTGCCCACTCCTCTGCTGTTAGTCTTCTTGAAGGAGCTGCCACCAGACCCATCCTCTGGGCTGCATCAGCAGCAACAACTGAACATTAGCCAATGTGGGCTTTCAGCAAAATCTAAGCATGAAACACAATAATCGCAGCCTACCAAGAGTCAGAGGTGGAGGGCCACGATCCAGCACATACTCTCTCTCCTCTTGTCCTTGTGTCTGCTCAGGACATATGACGCTCTGCCTTGAGTTGTGATTTCTGTGCTTCCTACTAACATGTGCAGCCCCACAGGAAGCGTCTGATACGGGGAGGTTACGGGGAATGTTTCGAACAAGAACGCTTCGTGTGATATGGTCCTGTAGTGCTACAGCTGCTAGAGTCAGCCTCCCGCGCTCTGCTTTACAGCCGAATCCCTAAGGAACATGGAGCTGTCAAACTCAGTTAATACACTGTAAACCAGTTTAGACTACCGGTCTACTGCTGCATGAGGGCAAGAAGCATGTTTCCATATTGATGGCAATCCCAATGTAACTGTGTAATCTGACTAAATAGCCTCTTTGTCAATGAATCTACTTCATAATTCACTGAAATGTAATTATATTAAAGTGGATTCTGTTTTTTGTTTTTTTATCAGTGACTACATATTTCTCATGGGTTCTTAAAAGTGTGAAATGGACCGATACTAATTCTTTGTGTCCTGCATTTGATGAGTACTCAGTCATGACAAACATTCTTGAAACTGAGCGCTCATGAGCAAAGATGGCAGTCTTTTGTGGGGTCCTTTCATCAGTCCATCATTGTCCACTGAGATGATGGCAATGCTAATGTATTACAGACCTAGCTGGTTTTTTGTCTTGGGTTTAATTATAGACGAATGGCTATGAAGCATTACCACATTTTAATCCAATATTTTCAGTCCAGTTCAAACAAATCTTTAAACTTGAAACTGTGTGTTCAAGAGCTGCGCTGAAGTCTGTCATATTGATATGGAGAGTCTGGGAGCTGTGTGTCTTACAGCAAGTTCCTTTTTTATGAGAAGATTGCATGTTGTTAAATTGAACGTTGCGTCATATGCCAGTGATTTATAAGCACCATAACAATGGTAGATTATATTCTTATGATGATGATGATAATGATTATAGGATTAAATGAGCGTTACTGAATTCGTAAAGCAGAAAAGATTTTTAGTCACCAGCCTCATAAAACTGTCACGATTGTAACATTTTAAGTAACTATTATGCAGTGTATTTTACAGCGTCAATTTATCTTAGACCTGTGCCTCACAGAGATATGAACACAGAGATTAGCCTACAAATAGTTTACGAGCATAGATATCTATGCTTACGAGAATTTGCGAATGTGTCGTTGATATGGCGGTCAATTGTTTACCGTGGCAACCTAACTTTACACCTGACTGTCTCGGAATCAGAACAGTAACCATAACAGCTAGCAAGAGCGCAGAGACAAAAGTTATCTTAAATTATGAGGCGCAAAATAAGCAGGGACGCATTTTGATATGCTTACAATTCACCCTCTCAAACTAGCATAACAACGCAGAGATGATCCTCAAAAAGAGTAAAGAAAAGAAAAGCACCTCACCCGCGGCATTGCTGTCCACAAAAACAGTGTTTGCTTGGTCGCTATGCAACGAAGCTCCATTCAACTCAGTGTGAAGTTCCCACGAACTCAACTAGTTTTCCCGATTGTCAATAGATCTGATTACGAGTGATGAATTGAATAGTGGAAATACTTTTAAAAATGTACATTTCAATTCAAAAATACGTTTTTAAAACATTTATTACGAGGTCTGAAAACAATTATGTTCATTTTTAATATGCACTCATAAATAATTATTTGGCTAAATAAATTAAGAAACAATCATGTCAAGTTTATAGATTTTGTTAAAACCATTATATAATTACAACAGCACCAAAAACAATCTTCCTCAGTCTAAGCAATAGCTAAATTTGTCACCACAATGGTGAACAAATGGTGAAAACAGAACATTAAACACTGTCCTTTTTGCTTATCTTGTCCAAAAAAAAAAAAAAAATTTAAAAATTGTGCCATTTCAACATTCACTCCTCAATTCCCTCACTGGGAAAACCTTAATTTTTAAATCAGCTGCTGGTAGAGTTTGCACTTTGCACTTAAAGGGATAGTTCACCCAAAAATGAAAATTGCCCTGGGGGTAAGCAGATAAACATAACATTTTCATTTTTGGGTGAACTATCCCTTTAACTGGTCTGGGAGGGAAAATCATGTGCAATGTATAGGCCTACAATGTTTAAAATGCAATGTTTTCACTCTTAAAAATAAAGGTTCCAAAAGGAGGTTTTTACAGAAATGCCATTAAACAACCATGTTTGGTACCCCAAAGAACCTTTCAGAACAGTTTTTAAAAGAACCGTTTTTTCTTAGCATGAATTTTAATAATCCAAAGAACCTTTTGTGGAATGGAAAAGTTTCATGGATGTTAAAGGCTCTTCATGGATCCATGCCTTAAAAGAACCTTTATTTTTAAGAATATTGGATAAGTTATATTACAATTCTTCTGTCCTTATCTTTTATTCCAAAAAATAACTCACATTTTTATTAGGCCTGTGCATTTCTTAACTTTAAAAGGGTTTTTCAGAGATACAAACATGGTTACATTAACTTTAAAAGAATAAGGTTAATTAGTGGTTAAAACGCGTGTACCACCTACAATAAGCAGGAGGATCTCATCATCGAGCTTTCGTCAAATGCTGAATTCCTCAACGCTTCTTTGCTCATACCTGAACCATGAGCTCAGGTGTCTCAAAGAGGTCATTCTGAGATGTTAAAAAACAACTTCAGAGAAAAACACACATACAAGACATTTCACCAGAAATCAAAATGTAATGATGTCTTATTTTATAATTCTGAATGTCTGATAAATGGCATATGTTCTGGTGCAGACACAAGGTGAGAACAACTGGCTATGTTTAGCACCCTTCAGTGGATCACCCATCATATCAATAAAAGTGGGTGCCTTCAAAAAGAACATTGGACTTCTTTCTCAGTGTGACAGGGAAAAACCATCATGCCTTTTTTCTGTAGACCCTTGCATTCTTGAGATTAGCGTAAGAAAAGCACAGCCTATGGCCTTTAATGCCCCAGACAAAGGTGTGGAGCAATTTATTTGTTAGGAATTTATCCTCTGAGTGTTCAATCAAAACCTGTCTTCCTCAATCCCCATGACTTGAGGCCCATCATTTGTGTTTTTAAGTAAATAATCAGAGTTTTCAAAAAGAAGTACAGTCAAGTCTCTCCATAAAAGCTGCTTTCTTCCAACTGTCATCGAAATGGATCTTAGTACATGCTTTAATTTTCAACAGGGACTGTTTGTTTTCTTCGTCTCTATAAATACCAGTTTAAAGAGCTTTCTATTTAACTTTATTCTCCGTGAACCTTTTTACCTGTTCTGAAAAAAGAGAGGACTCACCTTGCCGTGCAATGTGTCGATGACCTAAGAAACGAGGGCTGTGGGGTCTGTTGGTGTGATGTGTTGAATAGGAAACCTTTGCTGAACTTCTGTGCAAACTTTGCAAGGCACAGACAGCTTAAAAGGGAGAAGTAATCCATCGATTTATCTCTGCTCAAAGAGAAGGGGCAGGCATATTCTGAACAACAACATTTTCACGTGAAAGTGGGAAAAGATCATTAAGGAGATTTTGCAATGAATAGTGGAAAATGTATTACTGAATAATTTGAAACATCAATGTAGAAATTGTTGATAATTTAGCATAGGTTCTCTTTGAACAACAGAATGTGCAGCTTCCAATCAAGTCAGGTGATGTTAGGCTATTAGCCTGATGGCTTTCAGAATGGACACACAGCACAAAAGCCATGTTCAAAGTCCCTGATTGTATGACTTAGTGGCTAGAATGAATAAATGAACAGATGAATGAATAAATGAATTCATTTTTAAGAAGTGGATTTTTACTTGGCCTATAGCTGACAGTTTGAACTTACAGGATTTCTAATAAAGATATGATTAAGATTAAGCTCCAGCTTACATTGAAGTCAGTACTCATATGGAGAGGGAGAGAATAATGGAGCATCTTTACATTTATTTTGAAAGATGAAGCTCGCGATTATGGTAAGGGGCGTTACATTTCCGACGAGTGCTTGCGGTGTTCGGCCAATCACAATGCACTGGGTCAGCTGGCCAATCAGAGCAGACTACGCTTGTCGGAAGGAGGGACTTTGTAGAAAACGAAGCGTTTGAGAGAGGCGGGGCATAGAGGACCTACAATAATGTACAGTATTTGAAAAATAATGTGTTTTTTGAACATTAAAGCATGTCAACATATTCCGTTACACCAAATACACAAAATAATGATCTTTAAAAAAGCATCATATGACCCCTTTAATAATGTAAATTATGTGAAAAATAATGTGTTTTTCGAACCACCAAGCATGAGAGCATGTTCTAGTACACCCCCAAAACAAAATCAAGACTTTGTAAAAGAGCATAATAGGACCCCTATAATAATTTCAGTGGTGGAAATTATATGAATTATTCCAATGGTGGAGATGACCAGCCATTGTCCAAATGATTTTCTGTGCTTCCTTCTAATAGAACCTTGATATAATGCCACTCTTATATAATACAACATACATCATCAACCAGTTGAGATGGGGGCTAATCAAAAGGTTATTGCTATTGTGCTATTTTTGTGTCATTGCTGACTAAGTAAACCTGTGAAAAAAGAAAGAAAGAAAACAGTCTTTGTCTAAGACGGAAGGCGAAATAGTTTGAACATGTCCACTGAAAATTAAATACAAATCACTGTGTGCTTTTGCATCTTTTTATTTCATTTGCTAAGTGCTACATTACCTCATGCTTTGGACCTCACAAAAGATTTCCCATAAATCTCCTGGCGGCTGAGAGTAATCGATCAGGCGGTTTGATTAACCTGTCTGAAGGGTCCTCCCACAGTACTACAGGTCTTGGCTGGCTCTGTGTATGGCTTGTTGGAAATGTTCATTGTCAGTTAGCCTGGCTGAGCTCAGGCTGCAGAGGTTAAATTCTGGACCCGAACTCCACTGGGGGAACATCTCTGCATTCATGTTGCCCACAAACTATAGTGACATAATTTTGATGGCTTATGGATCAATAACGTTGCAAGTGATGCTTTTACTATTTGTCTCTTTGGTCACATGGTACTTCCTGCCCATCAACACACCTCATCCACTTATACGACATATAATAATAAGTCTGGATGCTTTGCACTCGCTCTCATAGTCTGTAAGGACTTGCTCTGTGTGCCAAGTGTGTTTCACTTGAATGTCGCCGTGGTGCCCAGCAATCTGCAACACATTTGCAAAGCCATCTCGTCCCCATAATGGCCAATAATTTTGCAGAATCCATCACAGGGGCTGAAAATAGACTGCCATAATGGCCATAAATTGTAGCCCAGGAGAGATTAACACACGGAGCTGTGCCGACCCTGTTGTGCCTGAGAGTCTCCTGTACCTCCAGAGACGAGCTTGTCTCGTTCTCCTCTCCGTCACCTGCTGATTTCATACATGGGGCCAGCGATTAAAATTATAGCTCCTAAAGCAGGAGGCCTTGTGCTCTTGGTGGGTGGATGTGTGGGAAGAGCTGCGCTAATGCCCACCATACAGTACACTGAGGTTAGCTTTCTGTGATACCTCACCTGTTCGGCATATTGAGAATAACATTGGAATGGAAAAAGGAAGCTTATAAAGAGCTGACAGTCATCTGGATAGCCTCAGGTGGTTTGATGGCTTACTTTAACCCTCTAACTGTTAAAAGCATAAAGAGTAAATCTGCATAGAAAATGAGTGTTTTCACTGTGTGTGGATTTATTATCATTATCATTAATGTTGAACCCCCTGTCACACATACACAAACAACCAGAGAGGGTAATTAACTCATCTCATTTAAAGCAGAAGTTCAGAGCCCAAAGACTTCCTTACAAGTCCCACATTAATCATGGCTTATTTCATGTGATTGAGTGAATGAATGACTGAATGATTGAGGCTGACGTTTGCCTTGGGTTGATGGAATGTGTTTGTGGTAAAATGTCATAAATGCAAAAGTTCTCTGAGCAAGGAATATAAATATGTCCCAAACCGCTCACTAGAATTATCACATAATTGGGGACTTTCCACATCTACCGTAGGGCAACACCCTTCCAACTCCCTGTGCTGTGCCCCGAGTTTGAGTTTGGTTAGGTTTTATTTGTGGCTTCCGAACATTATCTCTCTATGCAAAACAGTTTGCTTGGCAGAGTCAATCTGAGTGCAGGCAGCAATTCTACAAAGATCTGTTCATTTCACACAACCGTGGTTTGAGGTTTGATAAACTTATCTACATGGTCTACCATTAAAGTACTTACATATATGTACTTTATGTATTTTTAATTAGAATATAATAGTTTTGTTATTCCATACTATAGTATATGTAAATCACTGTTTGTTGCTAAATGAAAAGTGCCTCGAGAATCTTAACCTTCTAGCCAATGTTATTTCAATTATGACCATTTTTGATTATGACCATCATCATTTTAGCTCGTTTCAAATGCTATTGTGACTTTTGACTTAATTCACAGACAGTTCTTTCCATTTGTTTGTTTTGTTTAATGTTCTCTCACACTCCATATCCAAATGATTGGATAGATAAGCACAGTTC